GTGATGTGATGATGTTTTTGCCTGTTTGGTCTTTTCCACTGTCTGTGATGATCATATATTACTTCTTCATAGCTAAAAATCCACTAAGTTTTCTTTTATAAAAGTAATAATTGAAACCAAAAAAAACCCTTTAGTGATAAAAAGATTGACTGCTAAAATCAGCCATTAAATGAGTTAGAGCTAATCCTAGGGTATTGTCTTAAAGTTTCATGAAGAATCTGTCAGCTTTTTAGCAGCACTGCTGTGCGTCACTGCTGCACTCCAGTCCAAGCCCCTGTAATTTCCTGCCTGGGCTGTTTCAGAAGCTTAATAACTGGTCTTGCTGCTCCCTCCCTTGCTCCCGCTTCAGTCTGTTCTCAACACAGTAGCCAGATCATGTTTGCCTCTGCCCCAAACACCTCTGTTGCATTGCAGGGCCCTCAAAATAAAAGCCAAAGGCCTTTGGGTACCCTAACAAGGTCACTGTTTACCTCTCTGACCCCACATCCTACTACTGTCTCCCATGCATGCCGCAGGTCAGACAGGCCACACTTCTGTCTCAGGGCCTTTGCACTTGCTGATCCTCTGTCTGGAACTGTCTTTCCCAAGATGTCTACATGACTCTTTTCCAAAAGAGTCATGGTCTTTGTTCATATGTCAGTTTCTCAGTGAGGCGTTCCTTGACCATCCTATTTAAAATTTAACACCCCCCCCCCCAACATATTTTACATTTTACGAGCATACCTCATTTGATTGTACTTTGCTTTATTGCATTTTGCTTTACTGTGCTTTGCAAAGGTTGTCTTTTTACAAATTGAATGTTTCTGGCAACTCTGTGTGAGATGATGGTTAGCATTTTATTGCAATAAAGAATTTTTAAATTAAAGTATGTATGTTGTTTTTTTTTTTAGACATAATGCTATTACACACTTAATAGACTACAGCATAGTGTAAGCATAACTTCTGTATTCACTGGGAAACCAAAAGATGTGTGTGACTTGCTTTATTGAGGTCTGGAACCAGACCTGCAATGTCTCTAGGGTATACCTGTACTTAACATATATTCACTGTTCGTCTCCTCCTAGAACGTTACCTCCTTGAGAAGCAGGGGTTTTGTCTTGTTCATTATGTGTCCACAGCACCTAGAACCATGCCTGGCTTATTCAGGTGCATGCTGTTTGTTGAATGAGTGAGTGAAGTTGGCCCTTTCTAGCCCCCGATGACTAGCTGTGAATGTAGAGTCAAGGGCACTGTGGAACTTCCTCCTATCAGTTTTGTTCTCATTCTCATTACATAAGAGGACTGCAATGTTAGAACATCTTTAAAGTGCAAACCACAGCTGTGAGCCATTTAAAACATTCTGTGCAGCGAGTTAGGAGATGTCGATTAGTTGTTGATTTGTAAGGCAAATAGGAGAATGACACAGTCAGTACACACCAGGTCTCCAGTGTGCCAAGCGTGCAGAGTCAGGCCCCAGGGACAGGAGGAGGTGCCGTGTGTGGAGCCTCCTTCAGAGAGCTGCACACTTTGTTGCTGTCGGCCCCATAGTCGTGGAGGCATCATCCCACAGCAAACTCAAAGCCTTTCACGCCCCCCTCCGAGGACCACTGCTTTGGGTGCTTGTGCACATGCGTGCATGTATATTTATTTGTTTTCCAGTGTTGTCTCAGCAAGGGTTTCCTTTGGCCGCAATTTATGTTTTCCTTTTTGTTTATAGTGTTTCTTAGTAGCCCACTGCTACAAGTCCTGTCTGCAGAGGTGCTACTCAAATGTATCTTGAACTTTGTGCCGTTTCTCTTTTAGTATCTTAAGATTTATTTTGGCTATGGAAGCCTAGGACACAGTAAAGTTACGGAAGTGAGTTAGACCATGCCCATCTAATTATTGACCCCCCCAGGGGCAGGACACATCAGGGAGGATGGAGCCCATTCAGGAAAGCCATATGGTCTGCCTGGCAAAATGATCCCTGTTTTGGCGATGGATGCAGCAGATTCTAACGGTCCAAAGCCGTCATTCATTCATGAAAATATCTCTTGAGTGTCCACTGTTGTGGAACATGCTAATAAAATGAGCACAGTATTCACCTTTATGGAGCATCTTACAGTCTAGTGAGAGACATAAACATAAATTAAATAATCACATAAATGTGTAATTATAAACGGTAGTAAGTGCTACAACGGAGAAGATCAAGATGCTCTGGGAGCTCAAGATAAGGGAATGTCCTAGTCTGGGGTCCTGTGACATATGAGCTAGGAGCTGCAGATGACTAGGCACGTATGTGCTTTGTGGGGAAGGTGCAGAGTCTGTGCATTCGTTTCTAGCCAGAGGAAACAAGGTGTGCAAAATCTCTGAAGTGTTGAGGGATCTGTGCATTTAAGAGAGTAAAAGGAGACCAGTGTGGCTGAAATGTGAGGGAGATAGGAAGAGTGTGCACGGAGGAGGCTGGAGGGGTGAGCTGGGCCAGACGAAGGCTTGAGAGTCAGCTCTCGGGTATTTATCATCAGACCCATGCAGAGCATTAAAGGAGTCGAAGTAGGGCTGAGCCATGACCTGTTTTCTATTTTTAAATGTTTACTCTGGACACTTTGTGGATAATAGATTGGAAGGGAGGAAGCGGAAGCTGGGAAAATAGCAAGAAGTGTTTCGTGTTTGTCCAGGAAAAGAATGATAGCAGCTTGGACTAGGATGGTGGTAGTGGAGGAGATAGGAGAACACTTGTCTGGAGAGAGAATATTGGAGGCCACTGGCATCTGGACTGTGATTGCTCTGACATGCTCACCCAACCATCTGTTGTTAATTTGGCTTGATCTGCCTGTATGGTACCCACACCTGGGATTTCAGGAAGTATTTATTGACCAAAGAAATGTGAGTATGTTGGTCAAGCTGGATGGAGCAAGTGTCCAGGCTGTCTGATGACATATTTTTCATGGGAAATGAATCCATAGGCTTTGTGGCTTATCCGTCAATCTTTTATGAGCTTTGTTAACGTGAATCAGTATTGATAAACATGATCATTTTTGGCACCTTAGTGAGATAGACTTTTGGAGCCAGCAGAGGGAGGGACAGAACCTGGACAGTTGTGAGTTCCCCGAGGTAAATGTCCCCTGGTGGAGACTCTCTGAACTGCTCCCTTTCCTAAGCAACACCCTCTTTTTTGATGGATGCTTTTCCATTATCATTTTTAAGTAAATCTGTAATATCAATAGCTATATTCACCAATTGTTTCTATCTTTAGAACAGAGATTATTTCACCCAGTGGGGAAGGGTGCTACCACCTAAAAAAGAATTTCAGAGGGAACGTAGTTTGGAAAGGCATATTAAATGTAGAATGATTCAGAGTCAAGGAGAATCTTACCCTACATTGTTTCCCTATGCATCTATCTTTTTATTATTATGCCATGTTGATTTCTTTTGAAATAATAAAATATTTGTTTTTCAAATCTCCTTTTATCGATACATGTAATGATATTGTCTTAATGGTTTTATTTAGGAACTCAGTAAAGTTAGGCAGTTGAAATAATTCACTAAAGTTTAACGAAACCCTGTTGGTACTCTCAAGTCTGGAAGATATCAAACAATGATATAAAACATTATGTGTGCATTTGTGACCACTCACTAACAATATTTTCCTCATCTTTTGCAGGAGAAAATGGAAAAAACGGAGGTACTTTTAATGGAACAGAATAAACCACTGAACAGGTAACTACATTATCAGGGGTTCTGTACACATTAATTAGAGTTAATATTTGTGAAGTCCTTAGAAGGTTACCTGGCACGCAGTAAATAACTACATAAGTGTTTGCTACTATTAAGTTCCTTTAGCTGTACCTGAGCCTAAACTAAACCAGTCATACATCCAAAAACTACCCAACAAAAACAAACCATTTGCCCCTAAAGCAAGTGTGAACACATGGTCTCTGTGGGACCTGTTACAGTGGCCTGAGAAACTTAATTTCTTAATCTTTGAGCACTCTAAGTAGTTGAATACCCATTCACTTTTGGTTTTGAGCACTCAATTCGTGATGACCTTGTGTCAGATCAGTTTGTTTTTTGAAACAAAACAAGCTTCTTTACAGTTCTTGAGGAGCTTATCATTTGTGGAGATGGCTTACGTTTACAGGTAGCCACTGAAATGGCTTGTGGGTAGTTAGTAAAGATGGAGAGCATGGCATTAAGAACAGAACTCACATTTTCTGATGATGCCGAGATTACTTGGAGTAAGAAGTTTCAAACTATTGACCCTGCCCAGGCACTGCCTTCACATCACAAAACTGTCGGTGTTATTAAGACCTACTGACACATTCAGCAAACATTGATAAGGGGCCTATTACGTGCCTAGTGCTGTGCTTGGCCTTGAGATTGCAAAGTTGAACATGTCACCTTTCTCCTCACCCACCCTGTGCCGGTTCCTGCCTTCTTTACCTCGCTGTGGGGGAGACTGGGGTCTCCTGGCCAGAGTGATGCTCTAGATCCCACCTTCCCTCCCACCTTCAGCTCTTCTGTCTCCCCTGGCTCCACTCCCTCCACTCTTTATTCAGGGTGGGGAGAAAAACTCTGGGAGTGGAGGCCCCGCAGTCTGGTTTGGTAGTGTTAGACGTTTCTCTAGAAGGCTTGCTTTCCCTGGACTTCTGTGTCATAGTTCACATAGTTCATTTTAAATATTCTGTGGTTTTGTGTTTTGCCATGCTTCCCCTCTGGCATTTGGGGATATTATTATCTTTGGAAGTTACTTTTCTATTCAGAAGTGTGACATTATTAACTTGAGGGAGGCGGGCACTAGTGGTGTGCTCAATGTGTCAGGGGTTCTCATACCTTTTTTTTTTTTTTTAATTTTAATTTTCGGTACGCGGGCCTCTCACTGTTGCAGCCTCTCCTGTTGCGGAGCGCAGGCCCAGCGGCCATGGCTCATGGGCCCAGCCGCTCCGCGGCATGTGGGATCTTCCCGGACCAGGGCACAAACCCGTGTCCCCTGCATCGGCAGGCGGACTCTCAACCACTGCGCCACCAGGGAAGCCCTCTCATACCTTTTTATTGGAACCCACAGGAAGAAATACGTGTCACATTAGGACCCAGTGCACGCACTTGCACACGTGGATGTATGGTTTCCTGATACATCTTCACTATATGTGAGTGTGATAGAATTTTCTAGTCTATTGTATTCTCTATCACTTTTTCTTTTTCTCTTTTTTCTCTCTTCATTTAAACGTTCCTCATAACCTACCAAATGGGTTTCATAACCTACTAGTCAGTAGTGCTTTGACAGACTTGCTGTATTTTTGTGCTATGGTAGGGGCACCCGCTTTCTTGCCTTTCTGTCCACATTCTGTGGTAAGGTGTGTGTATCTTTTATCCCTAAACACCCCGCCCCACAACTTGCCTTAACTTAGTTCTTTATGTGTGAAACTCTCCCTCGTTTGTAATTTAGCTTATGTTTCTGTTTTGTCACATACCATTCACTCCTCAACTTTCTTTGTTTGAACTTTGACATTCCTCTCCTGACCAATAGACAAGAATTACTATTTCAAATGAAATAGATACCTCTGTGCTATTCGATCTTGCATATTAAATATAATTTTTAAAAAGTAACACCTGTATTTTTCATTAATTTCAGTGTTTACTAAACTTTCATAGTGTTCAGGAAAGCGTGTATATTGGAATGCATTGAAGTTACCCACTTTAATCACTTAATCTCCTTAAGCATTTTTAGGATTTCTGGCTCAGCATCTCATAAACTGAAATGCGTTCATGCTATATCACTCAGTCAGGGAGCTGATATGCAACGAGGGAAAAGAATTTCATGGTAAAACTTGATTCCTTACCTTCATGTGTTCTTTCTTAATGGGACTATATAAAATGATAGTTTAGTAAAGCACCCAACAAGCCAGGATCTATTCAAAACTTTTGGAAATGATAATTCACTCTTCCAAGATAGTTAAGAACTTCATTTTAAATGTTGTAGGTTTGCGGCTTGATTTGTTAGATGAGAGATACATTTGGTTCTAGTTTTAAGGCTAGTGCTGGAAAATCAAGAGGCTACAATCTATTGCTTAATCTGTTTTGAACCCTTATCACAATATCGTGGTGACTTCTGTGCAGTGCTAGCAAAATTCTCACTTATTTCAGAGACAAGTTTATTTATAAAGGAATCATAATTATATACATCTGAGATTACTCAGTATGTACAATAAATTTTAATGGTTATAATGTGCAGAATGGTTCTTTTAACCTAAGATAAACCAGTATTCACCTGTCCTTGAAGATTATTTCTAGGGTTTATAGGCAATAAATGAGACAGAATATCCCAGTTTGCTGAGTTAAAAGATCTCATTTGAGTAGTCATAGAAGTTTCTAAATATTTTGTTATTGAAGCCAAGCCAAAGTTCATTTGGTTCTCTGAGTATGTTCTGATTTCAGTCATGATTAATGAGGCCTTTCCATATAATTATAAATACAGCATATTTGCCAAAATTTAGCCAAATTATTATATTGTATTATTTTATATTATTATAATATTACTTAGCCACGTATTATAGGTGAACACATTCCTATACTTTACAATGATTTTAAATGCCATATAGCACAATTTGGATTGCTTTGTTTTGCCCTATCTAGGGTTTGAAAGTATTGTGAGAAGAGAATAAAGCAGACTTTGACAGCTAGTAGATGTTAAGGTATATTTACCAAAATCCTTTGACAAAAATCATTATCTAGGATTTCATTTTGATTTCCCTTTCTTCTTTTTTTTTTTTTTTTTTTTCTTTCTTTCTAAGGCTATTTTTTTTTTTTTTATGCGGTACGCGGGCCTCTCACTGTTGTGGCCTCTCCCGTTGCGGGGCACAGGCTCCGGACGCGCAGACTCAGCGGCCATGGCTCACGGGCCCAGCCGCTCTGCGGCATGTGGGATCTTCCCAGACCGGGGCACGAACCCGTGTCCCCTGCATCGGCAGGCAGACTCTCAACCACTGCGCCACCAGGGAAGCCCTCTATGGCAATTTTAAATGAATCATAAAGTATTTTTTCCATTAAATAAATAGAGCATGCAAACAATAAAATTTTCTGATGTTTTCTTCTTAGTCTTAATTAATTAAGGTACACTAACTTCTTCCTGGATGACTGTTCCTCAGGTATATTCTTCCTTCTTTTACTCACTAATTTCTTTGACGATTGATTGAATCGGTGCAGTACTCTACAGCCATGTGCATTTATATCATTTGGGCTAGGACACAATTAATGCATCATCTCTGAATGGAAGAGGACCTAGGAAGGTGCAGGTGATGCAGTGGTACCTTTCTGGCAGTCGTATCGTCTCCAGCCAGTTGAAGGCCAGTCCTAGGAAGATGCCAGAGGGGCTGGACTGGTAGGTAATCCAGAACCCTCTCTAAATTGGGGAAAAACAGAAGGGAATATGCATAGAGCTAATGGAAGATCCTATCTCAGAAGAACTGAGTAAGCAGCTCATATATAAATAAACCATGAGGGCAAATCCTTCCAGCCTCTCCCAAGATGGCAGTCAGTGCTCTGTAGTTCCCTCGTCACATCCCCATTGCCACCGAGACTGCGTCAACCTCGGTCTTGTGTTTACCATTAGAGGGGGTTATTTTCATTCCTTTCCATTCTCTGTCCTCTTGCCTTTTGAGACACCTACTACATGTTCTCTTACCTCCCCGATGATTTCTTCCAAGTAACCTTATAAGCGATCCTAAAACTTTGGCGTGAGCCCTGGGTCTTCCCTTTGCCCTGCTCCGTTCCTGACCAGTGAGCTCACAGCATTAGCACAGCATAGGCAGGGGCAGGTGCTAGAAGGTAGTGAAAGAGAGAGTTCAAATAAATACTTCAAAACTACTTCACTTGAATCCCTACTTTTTGAAAAAAATTAAGAAACCATAAAAGGCCTTTAACTAGGAAAAAACTTTTTGTTAATAATGAATTCTAGTCTGTTTCCTAGCCTGCTCTTGTTTAGTCCTAGTGCACAGTACATGCCGGGAAATCAGTAGAAAAATACCAGAATGTGTATTTGTTAGTCCCTTTAACCAGCAGCTTTGAGAGTATACAGAAGCAGGAGTTGATCCTTGCCCCCTGCCTGGCTCCGTTCGTAGGCATTTGTGCTGCCCCCCGCCCTGCCCTGCGCCCCCATTTCAGAAGGTAAACGACGTTACCATCGGACAAGGTTTTACTGGCTTCAGAGAATGGCACAGGTGAAAAGGGTATTATTGATGGTTCAAGGGGACAAATTATGGCAGAAATCTGAACAGTATTTGGGAACATAAACTACCGTGAGTTTGATAACCCCCAAACAAGAACAACATGTATTTTTTTAAAAGTATTTATTTCATACTTGTCCAGTTTTTTGGGCCGTTTTCCTTTATTCATTTTCTGTGAGGGGAAACTGAAGTGAAAATGGAAATTATTTTTATCCCCTTTATTAAGGCACCTAGATTGATTGTGAAAAGCATGAGAAATCACGTCAGGTAGCCAAGCACTTGTTTTAAAAGCATGAATAAAAGAAAAAGAAGACAGTAAACAACAAGATATGATATAGTGTGTTATGGGTTGCTAGTTTTGAACTTCAGTCCTTCATAGCACTAGAGCCTAAGTATTTATGTTGTCAAGAAATAAAGTAAGTGTGGACTTCCCTGGCGGTCCAGTGGTTAAGACGCTGTGCTCCTAGTGTAGGGGGCACCGGTTCAGTCCCTGGACGGGGAACTGAGATCCCACATGCCATATGGTGTGGCCAAATAAAAAAATAACAACAAAAATAAAGTAAGTGAAATGCTAGGTTCATTCTGAGTGCTGAAGGCGTGCAGCTGATATTGTTGACACATACAGAGATGCTCAGTGGTGCTCTCAGGACATTGTTTTAGTCGTGTTTCCTATAGTTCAGGATGGGTTTGTTTTGATCTATCCTATTTTTTTGTGATAATTTGTATGGCAAAGAAAACAGGTTAATAGCCTTTATTATTTCCTACGTGCTAAGCATTGGGTGATGAGTGTGAGGGGAGATACTGCCACCATCCCAGTTTTACAGAATGTGTTTGATGACAGAAGGTTCTAGTCAGTTCCCAGCAGAGACCATAGTCTCATCAGAACCAAATGGTAGCTGGCTTTAAGTAATGTTGCAGCAATATTTAAAGGCTTAAAAAGCTTCTTTACATTGTTGATTAGCTGTGATAGCCACACAAGGAAAATACTCATTAAAAGAGGGGGTTTTCACAGAGTAAAAAAGTAACTCAGATTTTCCTAAGTTTGTAGCATTACTTTCATATTCTTGAGGTTAAAGATTTTTAAGTTAATATTTGCAATTTACAATCTATTGTTTAGTCCTCAGGGATAGAATAGTGTAATATAAGAAAATTAAAAGTAATATTCCCTTTTTAAATGTATATAATCAACATGTTTCATGTGTTTCCTGAATATTTGCTATTTTCAATTGTACATGATACATCTTGTGAATTCAGTAGGAAATGGACCTTTTAGGCAGACAGATTCTGAAGGATTTCCATATTGGGGGTATGTTATGTCCACGTCAATAATTGGAAGAAAATAAATCCAATACCTCTGATTGAAGAGGCAAATAAATATATATGTAAAATCAATTTTCAGTTTACCACCTTAATGGAAGGGAACATTAGCATGGCTAATGAAAAGTTTTCAGCAGCCAACTCAGCCAGCTTTTTTTGTGTAACAAGGAAATAAAGGCTTACTTCTCCTTAAAAAAAAAAAAAAAGTTTTCTTTTCACAGTAACTTCTTGTTTAGTTTTGCTTTGGGTTCTTGGCTTTCTGGAACGCACAGCAGACAGCAGTGGATTTGGAAGTGGCTCAACATATATCTGTAAAATAGAGGAATATCCCTATAATCTAACATAAGTTGTAAATATTGTGAAAAGTTTAAATTAATACACAATTAAATTATGGATTTTATTACATTTCCATTGTAGATTCAAATTCATTTGCCTATTCTTAAAACTCTAAATGTCCAGGGTAAAACAGGTTAATTAACACTTGAATCTATCTTAACAAGCCCTCCTGTCTCCCATCCCCCACTATTCCTATCTTTTTAAAGGTGAAATTAGTATAGAATGAAGATCAAAGATATTTGAAGGGGAGAATAAGTCACAGAATAATTCAAATGTAACCATTTGAATTTGGAATAGGAAGGAAGGCTAGAAGTCATTTAACCTTTTCAATTTACAGACAAGGAAACTGAGTTTCTGAGAGCTGATAGGGCTGCACAAAGCCACAGAATTATTAAAGGGCAGAACTAATACTGACAGGTAGATAGCACTTCTTCTACCGGGACTTTTAATGATTTTTTTCAGCTTTATTGAGGTATAATTGCCAGATGATATTATAAAATGTTTAAAATGTACAACATCATGATTGATGAACATATACCTTGTGAAAGGATCCCCTTCACTTGAATAATTTTCAGAAATTAATAGTAAACCGCAGTCTTTTTTGTCTTTGGTTTTTGTATTTTAACACACTACTTGGAAAGTGTGTATCTTAGGAAAAGGTAGTGGAAAGCAAAGCCCACTCATACCGTGGGTACTGTTTTTTCCACTCTGCTCGATTGGGGGCAGCCTGATGGGTACAGATAGGAAAGGAAGAGAGGGGCCTAATCGTCACTTCAATGACAATGAAGGTTTTATGCGATAATTTTTAAACCTGGAACCACCTGCTTTTCTAGAAATAGTTGCTCCCTGAGAAGTTCCATGTCTTTCTCAGCTACTTGTGCCCCTGTCCAACCCAGAAAACACCACCCCCTAATTCCTGCATTCTAGGGAGGTCTCTGGCAGATCCCCTCCTGTTGAGAATATTATTACCTGTATGATTTTTTACCGGTAGAAAGGCAGGTTTAGTGTTGTCAGTTAACTTACTGTGTTAGTGCGCTGAACTTGCTGAGACTACAGATTTATGTTGGACTTCTTTCCCCCTACCCCGTAAATAATTTTGCTTCCCAGTTTAGAAAAGTCGAATTCTTAGAACCAGGTACTACTATCATTTGCATGGGACCAAATGAATGCTCTTGGTTCCAAGTACAGTTAATGAGACAGGGTAAATGGGGCAGGAAAATGAGCATCATCACCAAAAAAAAAAAAAAAAAAAAAAAATCCCCATGTGTAACACCACTAGTCAAAAGTGTCATGTTTGTAGAGTGCAGACCTTACCACTCTTTTATCCAAAAGTGTATCTTTCTTAGAAGCTGACTGACTAGATTGGTATATACTTGACTCATCCTTTTTATTTAAACTACAGCAAATGTACCCTCTGACCCATGTGAAAAGTATTGGTTTTAGACACAATACCTGGTAGAAGTAAACAGTTTAATCCGACCTGGAAAAGAAGTAACCTAAATATACCTAAAATTAACCTAAAAATTGTGATAGTGGTAAATAGTAAAATCATATTTCCAGCTTCTAGTATTACATTGACACTGGCATATACACAGTCATTATTCAGTTAGAAATTTTATTTTGACAGCACTCTACCTCATATGTGTTTTTCAAAAGGGTGTTAAGCCACTGCCTTACTTTTGACAGACTCCTTAGAGAATGTCTATGTAGCAAAGTGTGGTGAATCGTCACAGTACACTGAAGCCTCAGAGTTTGTCTTAGTTATCTGAGTATTTCACTGCATTTTGAAAGAACCCTGAATTATTCTAATAATTTAATCCTCCACATCACAATGTACAGTGCTTCATTATGCATTACTTTTTTTATAACTTCTTTACGTTTGAAAGATAATGATGTTTGTTTTGTCACAAGATGCTTTCATGAGAGGTTTCAAATTGTGTGGCCAGGTGTAGTTGTCAGACAGAGACCTAAATGTTGTCTCGCTTTTGTTCCAGAATTCATTTGCACTGGCTGTTTTAATTCAGATTAAATACGAGGAGGAATAGTACTGCCTTCTCCTGTCAACATGGAAGCGTATAGCGTTTACTCAGCATTTAAACGGTGCTGTTTTGGGTTCTGAGGTAGCTGAGGAAGGGTAACCATGCTACCAGGAATTATGTTGATTTTTACTTATTTTATTATCTGTTTAGGCCCTACCTAGAGGGCTTAGTATATAACCGGAAGATGAGGGTGGGTAGACGGGAGGAAAAGAAATCTTTAGTACATAATCCTTTCATATTTTTCTGAAACACGATGGTTCACTTGCCACAGTGTGTATTACACCTGCAGTTTCTTTGGATCTTATTTGAAAACCAGTGAGGGGAGTAACACAAGTGGATGCAAAGAAAGAGGTACCCCCACGAGCTCTGTATCACCCAGACTGGCAGTGCTCACTGCAGCTACAGGATTCACTGGTTCGTGGAGATAAGACATGGAAGATGTGTCAGAAATGTTTGGCTAACAGAAAAGTTTAAGTGCCAGCACCTGAGAATGAATTCATTTTAGCTTTTAAATAAATGGGAGTTAGATTCATTACAGAAACGTAGGGACCTACTCATTCGCATTCTTACATGTTTTCTAGGGAAGGAAGAAAGGATGGAGTTTGAACTGATTTGCCAGGAATCATGTTCCGAATGGATCCAGGATATTGAAGTGTAAAAGAGGTGAGCTGCCTGCCTGTGGCCTAGACTGTGGCTTGTACTTTAATAGCAGGAGAAATGAGGACAGACAGCAAGGCCTGGGCTGTAGTGTTAACGGCATAAGTTTGCCCCTGGGCTCCCGTTTCCCCAGTGCCACAGTCGGACTCTCAATTATGGGTGATTGTGCTCTTAACTGTTAGGGATTCTGTTCATTAAGAGTGAGGAGTCTGGATCCAGACTTCTTGGGCTCAGATACTGGCTTCGCCTCTTAGGCAACTGACTTAATTTCCCAGATTCTTCATTTGTAAAAAAAAAAAAAAACAGGGATAATATTAGTATTTACCTTTCTGGGGTTGTTAAGAGGATCAGATGAGTTAATGATACGTAAAGTGCTTAGAACACTATCGGGCACACAATAAGCGCTGGGTATGTGTTAGCTGTTGTTACAATATGTGACCCTATTTAATTTTTACAATTTCATCCTCTCTCCATAACCCTTATGTAGGGAGAGTAGACACTTAACTGGGTGAATGAGTGAGTAATGACTTGCCTGGTATCTTTAGAATTATTGATTGGTAACGTAAATGCATTTTGTAGACTAACTTGGTTAGTTTTCAACATAAGGCCGTGTAGGCACCGCACTGATTAAATTACATCCAAGCATGATCCTCCCACCTCATCTCAACCATGGTGCTTTATCTTCTTTCTAATAAACCATTTTCTTTCCTGGAACTCACGAAAAGGATTTGTTTTACATCATGAAGAAGTACACACAACACACGTACATGAAGCAGTTAACTTCATGAAACAATAGTTACACTAAGTTGAGTGAGCTCTTGTTTTCTGTTTTATTCTCTTGTTTCATTTTTGTAAAAGTGCTGCTTGCAATGCATTGAAATTATTTCACAACCCACTAATGAATTACCCTACAGTTTGAAGGACACTGCATTAAACCTGTTTGACTCTTGTCTAGAACCAAAGTGGGGATGCCTTTGATTATAACCAATACTCCCTCCCTTTTCATTCTCTTTCCTAACTTCCCCTGAGAGTGGAGCTGGGATTCACCAGCTTTCAACAACCCCCCCCCCCCCCCCCATATGTTTACATGCCACCAACCTGTTTAGCAAGGGCAAAGTTTGTATTGTCATTTAAAAGGACTTCAAGCATTACTGTATTTCAGATTCACTTCCAGCACATTTGTAATATTAAAAATACATAGAGCTCATATCACTATAAGATAGGATCCAATAATCATTTTCAGGAAGGTGTTTAAGGTTAGGTATGACAAGAGTAACAGATTTTTCAGATTGTGATACCTAACTTCTCTGCCCCACCCCTCCCCAGTTAAATAAGGCATTAAGAGCATCACGCAGAAAAGTAACTTTATTGGTAGAACAGAGAGCTCTTGAGAGCTGTTGGCGTCCTGAGCTGTCCGTAGTCTCCAGTGTGTTCGGCCAGCACTGATGGTTGGTTACTTACTGTTTAGAGCTGCTCATGCCCTGTGACCATGAAGCTGAACAGACGCCACTGCCCCTGCTGAGCCCTGATTCTCTGTTCTCACCAACTGAGCCACCAGCCAGACCAAACAACTGTTGATACTTCTTTGAAAGATTGACAGCCAGATTCGGACCAAGGTTACCACACAAGGCCTTACACGTGACCAACTGCACGTTGCCTTTGGTCAGCCTCCCACACCCCTGCTCCACACAGCAGCCAAGCTGTCCTGGCTCAGGTGCTGTGTCTAATCCAGCACCTTTTCCATCGAACTTGGTGAAAGTCTGAATATTACATTCTCTTCTTTTCCTGCCCATCCCCCTTTAGGTCGTCGTCTTTGTTATTAAATCCATACATCTTTATCATATTTCAAGTAAATCTCTAAGATTTTTTTCTTTCTTCCCTCTGTTTGATTTTGGAGAGCCCCCAGTGGTGCTAGTCATACCTGATACGTCAGGAGTAGGGATATAATCATTATCAAGAGGAAAGAGCATAGTATATTTGGAGGTAGAGTAAAGCATAATAGTCAGTGTCATTAACTTTCAGATCTCTTAAGTGTCTTAGTCTGGTTCATCCTCTTCTGATTATACCTTCTTACACACTTGCATAGAGAAATAAAACATCATTCTTAGTTTATTTTATTCCTCATATAATTGTTAGTATTGCAGCACAGTTGCAGTATACATCTTATTTCAGATGTGTGTGTGTGTGTATATATATGTGTATACGTATATTTATATAGTATTGTATTACAGATACATTATGAGTGAAATAAGTTTCTGTGGAATGACCTCTGGGTACTAACTTTCATTAGCAGCATCAATCCTAAGGGAAAAGTGGCACCAGTTCTAACCCACCAACGTTAAGTACATTTTGGGTATGTAACCAGGTCTTACTTAATGTCTTTATTTCTCTTAGCCATGCTTCTGTTCATGGAAAAAGGTTGCCTATCTTAAAATCACCTAAGTACTACTAGAGTAGTATGAGTAGAGTAACTTCCATAATTATTTTCAATAACAACTTAAAATGGAAATCGTAGAAAAATTTAGAGTATTCTGAAAATAGGAATATGTTTAAGCATGGATTTTGAAATGACAAATGACTTTTATCACTTCTGTGTATGTAAGTGTTTATGACACTCTCTTGTACATAAAAGTTTACTACTTTCAAACACTACGTTTATTCTGAGGGGCAGTTGAATGAAGAACACTGGGGCCTTTCCCCAGTTCAAGTTGGTGGTCCCAGGTGACTCAGGACAGCCCCTTCACTTTGGCCTCTTTCTCACATGTACACTTGAAATGTGATGGCTTTGGCTGATGAAACACATTATCTTTTTGAAGACTTGGAAACAGCAGTCAGAAAATGTTTAAAAAGAAAAGGCTAGTACACTTTCCTATTAGTAGAATTTTTAAAGTTTTGGGTCTTCATGAAGGCATTTCAATCTTTGTTCTCTCTGCCGACCTGGTATTATACCTTTCAAAATAACGGTTACCAAACAACTCTTCAAATTCATTATTCATTACTAATCTCGGGGTAATATTTTTCTTTTGCTTGAGTTTTAGTATATAGTCTGAAACTTACTGTACTGTAGGTAGCAAGCTAAAAGCCACTGGTGAAAGTGAAATCATGGCAAGGGGTCTTGTACATCATGAATATGTTCTCATTCATTGAAGATGCATTATCTTGACACAATTTTGTGTTTATAAAATGACCTTGAACTTGCAGATATGCTAAGAGTATTGTTGACAAAGAGATACCGGTAGAGATTGTAATCTCTCTGTTTGGGTCCACACAAGCCAAATACGCAACAGAATTCCTAAGCTTAATGTAGTGAATAAGCAGCATTTGGACTTAGGGCTTTTAACAATTTTGATATATGCCCAACTTTGAGACATAAAGGCATCCATAGAACAAAATAATAAAGTATACATTTTTAAAAATCATCGAGGTCTGAGAAAAGATAAAACAGAGCCCTTGGGGTTTGGCATTGTTGCCACGGTAGCCACGCTGAGGGGTGAGATGAGTCAGCAGGCCCAGATCAGCAGGGCTTTGCATCCTCTAGCCCACCACATCAACCGAGGATGCTCTGCTTTCATCTGGTGCCTCTATTGGGCTTTCACCTAAGATTTCATTTGGGGGAGGGCTTCCAGTGCTAATGTACAGTTTGAGAACCGGTGCTCTGACAGATGCAGGTTTTACCTATTAGGCAAAATAGTTGGAACGCCAAATACACTAGACCAACTCACGGTAAAATTAAAGATAGCAAGTCGGCTTCCTTATAGCCCTGTCTGTGGTTAGGATGGCAGAGTGTGTAGTCATCCTGAGACGCAGCGGGGGGCACTTGGAAAAGCTTGTTCGTAAGCACACTGTTTAAGTTGGGCTCCCCTCATCCAGAAAGTTTCCTTAGAAACGTTATGCACGTTGGAGGAACAGGTAAACCCTTTTTATTTAGTGAAACATAATTGTTATACTCGCTGGTGATGTTCAAATCACATTTCTCTATGCACGTTGTAATGATGGTGCTTCCCCACCGCCACCGCCACCCTGCCGCCCGGCACTTTGGACTGAAGTGAACTGACTGCCTAAAGTGGAGCACAGCTTGATGGAAAAGGACTATGAGTTTTCTGCAAGTTCACACAGTCTTGTGGTGGATAAAGAAGGAACCGAGAACAAGACATATGGACAGACGATATCATTTTAAGTGCATTTCTGACAATGTTGCTCAGTTTCCTTTTTAAAAATCCTTTATGTTCAGAGGGTAATGGGGGTGGAGGTGGGCATACAGGGCCAACGTGAAGTCTGACGTAGAGAATGCGTTGCCGGTGGGTCCCCTTGCGAAGCAGGCTTTTTTGTTTTTGTTTCGGTGAGACTTCTGTGGCAAGGAAAACGGTCTGTAACGTTCTTGATGTGGTGCCTGGAAAATCGTGAGCAGTCAGTAAACGTTAGTGTCCTCTCTCCTCATTTTCCTCCTCTTGTTTTCAGCAGCGTGTTTTATTCTGGTAACATCTTTTCATGTAACGTTCACCTTCAACATCAAGTACTGTGTTCTTCAGCTGCCACAGCTTGAGCTTTTGTCTCTCAGGTAGAGAGGTGGTGGGGAGGAGAGGCCAGGTGAACCCAGGCAGGCTCTCCTCTCCCCCGGAGTGAAAGCCTCAGGACTGAGGTGGCTTTAGCGCCCTTATCGCTCCTGATTTCAGCGGGAGTCAAAGACAAAATAACTGAATGAAAGGGAAGATGGCAGCAGCTGTAATCAACTGTTCAGTTCCACTGACAGGAAAAAATCATCTTCCAACTTTAAAGGATTTAAAAATAACCTGGAATGCTTCTTAACATGCAGATCCCTGGGCTCTACCCCAGAGTTCTGAGTCAACTTTAGGTCATTCTGATGCACGTGGTCCAAGAGCTGCGTGTTGAAAACCCCTAATTCTAAGATCAGTTACACCACTGCTCCATTCTTCGTTGATCATCAGTGTAGCATAAAGACTAAATTTCTTTTGAGAATTTTTACCACTTCTTGGTAATTCTGAGCCCCAAAACCATGGCTTAGAATTCTTGGCTTAAAAATATGTGGACCGTGCCTATACTTACGTGTAACTCTTAGGCAGCTGCATAACACAGAAAACTTTGGCAGTGGCATGAGATTTATTTTTAAATTGCAGCGTCGACATAATTCTTTCTTCATCGACTTTGCCTGATGAGGGAGTCCTATCTCACTGTGGTTTGTTCTCCCGGTGGTTTCCGTAGGGTTCGGGAGAATGCTACAGAAAAAAACGAACCCTGTCTAGTTTTGACTCACTCAGACGTGGTGTGTCTTTCGTCTTTCTGAGTTGGGATATGAGAGGCATGCCCCAAAGGTGGCAAATCAGACTTCCACACTCGTTGCCTTCACTTAGCCAATAGCTTGCTCAGAACGTGTATATTACGATGTGCAGATTCACTAATCGGCAATTTCGGACTCCAGCAGGAAACAGCCTTGAGTCTTGGGAGACTTCTGGGCTTTGCGCTTGGCACTGACTCCTCCACAGAAGCAAGGGGTGCATCTGGCTGTTAGAAGAATTAATGGGCATCCAGGTAAGGGTAGATTGGAGAAATCGTTCCTTGTTTTCCTTTGGGTGGATTTGAGATTTTAGAAAAATTAGTCCTCTGAGAAGAGCTCAGAACTGTTTGTCTTAAGTTTTTCCCTCTGAGTTGCTTTTTGGGATTACCCTGTATGTCATCATTCCCTTTGATGTGAAATCCACCCTCTTCAAAATGTAGTTTCATTTTCAGATCTTTTAAGCATAGGATTCCATTTCTCTTTCTGTGCATGAAATTTTTAAATAATAATTAATATTAAAATAAAATAACTCTAGTTGCTAAGATGCTAACGTAGGTTACTAGTTCGTAACTTAAGTCTCATGTTTTTTTAGGGAGTATGCTTTAAAAGTTGGGCGGGGAAAATCGGTGTTTGCATATGATTTATGAAACAATGATGCTACAAATGTGTCAGACTTTTCCCTATGTTAAAGGCCAAATTTTGAGGCATACTGCTTAATCTGTTCTGAGGAAGGAGCCGTGAGACCTCTCCCCCTGCCACTCCCCCATGCTTACTCCTGGTGGGACCAGCTCCAGTTCTCTCCTCACGCAGGGGGTTCCAACTGTGGATATTCAGTGCAGTGGCATTTTTCTTGAAGAAGTGACTAAGCCTTCTTAGATGAATTTTCTCTTTGAGAGGTGGTAGAATTGCATCAGAAAGGCATTTACAGTAAATGGCTCCCTCCCCCCTTCCTGTAATGACCACATATGAAAGAATGCATTAATTCTTGTTTTGAGGAAATGAGAGTGGTAGAGTTCTATGGAAAACTCCCTGTTCATCATTAATTAACTAGATTTGAAAGTTAAAAATTGTAAAGCCAGAATCACTTCGTGCTATCTAAATAAATGTCACAGAGGTAACAGCTTTTCACTCCATATTCTATATGAAGTAACTAGTTATCTTGAATTCAAAAAGAGGAAATAGTGTTGAGTATGGCTATAGTTAATGGCATAAACCTAAACGAATTTCTTCATAGTCATTTTCCTTATTAAATTAATATTTTTCTTAGGTATGTTACTGATTTTGTTCTTTAGGATTCGATTCTCTGTGGTAGAATATGAGGGCTGGAAGGAAAACTCCCATAGGTTATCAGCCAGGGGTTCTCATGGCAACAGTGCTGCCCCCTAGAGGACATAGTATAAATTTGGTACGTTGTTTGGTTCTGCAGTGAAGGGCCTTGAATCAGAGATTTTAAATGTCCCACAGTGGAAAAGACAGAAAGAACTGCCCTGTGTCCCACATGAGTTTCAACTATCCTGTCGGATATTCATGCAGTGAAAATTAGTTTATAATTATCCGATCTTAGACCTAAATTCATTTTACATAAAAGCACAAGATAACCTTGGCATACTTTAAATACACACAGGATATACTCATTTTCATTCACCTGTACCTCTCCTCTTTTGTTTTCCTGTACTTTTAATATGGAAAGCTTCTGATCTGACTTCTGTTAATCCAGGTATTCTTTATAAGTAAGTGATAAGCATCTACTTCATTACATAGTTAATGGGACCTGAAAGTTATGTACATATTGAAATATGTCATGTTTTTATTATAAATTGTTTTGCTTTTAGGCTCTCCTTTACGTTACATTTAAGGTATTATATTGATGTTTTAAAAATATGTGTATACCAGGTAATGTTTACCAATGAATTTCATTTTAGAATAGCAAATATAAATAGGGCATTACAGAATTTTTTGGTTATAAAAAGAAAGCTTTGGGACTAGTGGGGTTTTGAACCAGTGATTCAGTTCCTCTCTGTAGTTCCAGGAAGGACAGTATGCAGATCACCCAGATGGGAGGGATGTTTATCTTCTATGTGAAGATCTCCAGGGAAGATTTCACATGTACTACATTAATATGTTTTAGTATCTTGAGGTCTTCACGTTAAGCTAGTTCTTATTAATACTTTCCAGGAGTCTTTATTAGGTCCCTCTAAAAACACCACCTTTGGTTTCTCCCTTCCTGTAGGAAAGGACAGACAAGTATGGAGAGAAGCTTACAGGTCATCTTGCAAACGAGCAGAGGACTTAAAAACAGACTCAGATTTTTTTGAACAAGGGGGCTTTGTGTCACTGTCTTCTTCCCAGGAACATGTTCTGCATGTGCCATTTTAGACTTCTGACTGTGTGCTGTAAATATAGTGCATCTTAGGTAAGGTATGGTCTATGACACAGGATTATATCGTCAGAGTCACAGCTGTGAGGTCAGCGTACCCAGGCACATGCATGCAGCGCTCACTGATACTTCTTGTTTGGGGCCACATTTTTAATTCTGTAGACCTTTTTCTTGGATTGCTATTTCTTGTGCATTTTTTGGTGGTTGTTATTCTTATGTGGATGTAATTATCGCTTCTCAAATTTTTTTAGGGACACTAATAAAAGTTGTTTTGAGGGTTCTTGACGAAATATCTTCACTCTTTTGAATTTTCTGTTTCTTCCAGGGGCTTTTTGTTGTGTATCTTGGAATTCCACTTTCACATGGCAGGCTTTCTTTAATTGTATGTTTATGCTTAACTCTTCACTCGTATAGAGATGAGGTGGCCTTAAGGCTGCCAGGGCTCCTTACGTTGGGTGCATCTTGCGTCCCTCTGGTGGCACAGAGCCAGCCCTCGTGTGGAGAGTGACTCAGTATCAGTGAAGAGGGCTTGACTTTGGGGTTTTCAGAACCACACTGGCTGTTTAGTTCTCACTAGACATTGTGTTTAATTTCTTTTGAGACTCATTTCCCTTTTTTAATTTTTAGTGTTTGCCTGGGTGGGGGGCTATAAGGTTTGTTGTTTCTCATAAAGATAGGAATTAGGCACGGAAGTAACAGTTGTTGATCCTTAGACTTTTCAGTTAATCTTCTCCTTTCTACCCTTTTTGTCATCTCTGGCCCATACGGTCCTTGCTTTTTCTGAGTCTAGAGCCGCTTTGAGGTTTCACTGGGTTATTGCCTTAGCAGCAGCAGGCGTCTCAGAGAACCTCTGGGGCTGTGAGCTGCCTCTGCTCAGCTTCATCCGTCAGGACTTCATCATTTTATGGCTTCCAGATGGTGGTTGAAATCTCTCAGGCCCATGATAGTCTTTTAACTGTGGTGGGTGTGTATACTTTTTTTTTGTAACTGTAATGGGATCTTTCATGTGCCCTGACCACCATTTTGAAACGGTAACTTAGTTCGGGCTTCTGGAACGAGGTACCATAGACTGGGTGGCTTATAAACAACGGAAATTTATTCCTCACAGTTCGGGAGGCTGGTGTATAGAAAGCTGTCTTCTCGTTGTGTCCTCACATAGTAGAAGGGGCAGGAGAGCTCTCTGGGGTCTCTTTTATAAGAGCGCCGATCCCATTCATGAAGGCTTCACCTTCGTGACTTAATCACCTCACCAGAGCCCCACCTCCTAAAGGCATCATATTAAGATTTCAACATGTGAATTTGGGGGGAAAACAAACATTCAGTCCATAACAAATGAGAAGTCCTTTCATTTGTTGATTTGTCAGAAGTACATCTGAAGAATTAAGTCAGAAATGCATTTAGCCAGGAAAACGTTTAAATGAGGGCGTGATGACTGCAGTGGGTATTGGGGTTTGGAAAAACTAACCCTCAAAATAACTTGGCTGGGAGGGATAAATTGGGAGATTGGAATTGACATACATACACTACTATATGTAAAATAGATAACTAATAAGGACCTACTGTGTAGCACAGGGAACTCTATTCAATACTCTGTAATGACCTACATGGGAGAAGAATCTAAAAAAGAGTGGATATATTATATGTGTAACTGATTCACTTTGCTGTACAGCAGAAACTAACGCAGCATTGCAAATCAACTGTACTCCAATAAAAATTTTTAAAAAGTAACTTGGCTGGGAAGAAACAGTGAGCTGACATTATTACACAAAGACATGCTTTCCAGCTCTGGAGGCTACAGTCATTCCTCACAGAACACCCCAAGACACTCTTCTAGCTTTATTGCTAGAAGAAACGATGCATCTTGTGAAACATGCAACTTAGTCATTAAAAAAAAAAATATATATATATATAGAAGTAGTGGTAGTTGTTCCTGATCTTTAATACAAGTATAAATATGCATATGCTTACTTTTTAATGCTTGTCTGCCCTTAGACATAGGAATTTTGGAAAGAATCTCCTGTTCCTTCATTCCTATAACTTTTATTCCTTAGCAGATAGACCCTCATACTTCTCCCTCTTCTTGTAAGAAGCATCTCATATTCTCCCTTTCCATTTCCTTTGTGGAAAAAAGCTCCAAATTCTTATTGATCGCCCCTTTCTCGTATTTGTCCCATAGTTCCTGAAAATGCCTAGTAGATACCATGAAGATGGGAAAAATCAGATATTAACTAATTAGTGCTTTAACTTCTCTCACACAAGGGGTATCCATTTGTATCTCAGAAGAAACTCTGAACTGATGTTTCCAGTCTTACCGTTCCCTCATTTTACTCGGAAAAAGCAGCTGTTTCCCTGTGACGAATCCCTGGAGATCTTCCCCAGAGGTCCCCAGAGTTAGGGCCAGTTGCTCCCATGTGATTGAACCTAACACAGAATCTTCTCGCTCTATCCTGATCTCTAGTACAATACTGGAAGCCCCAAATCTTTCTTGAGAATTTGCAAAGTAGTACTGTTGCATATTAATTATCCTTTGTGTAACGGCTTAGACGTAATTGAGGATAGTAAAGATCCTCTGGTATCTGACCTCTGTATTCTGTAAGTTGTTTACCAGTTTAGAGCCTCTGGACTGTTCTAGATCAAAGAGCAGGCCCTGTGAGGCCATGCCCTAGAAACAGATGTGGAGAGTGCTGAAATGTCCTGAGCTCCGAGGATGCAAGCTCCCAGAACGCGCTTGTAATTTATTTCTGGTATTGGCCAGAACAAACATCATCAGCTTGTTCCACGTGCCCTTCTGTCCATATCCACTTGGAATGTGTTGAGTGCGGCTTGTCAGTAGTCTACTGAAAAATGATGGGCCTAAAAGGACACTATGACTGAGAA